TAAACGTGTTCTGCATTTCCAAAACCCTCCTTTATCTACAGCAGGTGGAGGCTTGTGCAAACACCCGTCCCAAGGCCCTCAGAGTTTCTGATGGAGCGGGTCCAAGCCCCCCGCCGGGAATCTGGCTTGGATGCCCTTGGCATTGAGAGCTTTCGAACCCCAGCAGAAGATGAGTCCAGCGACCTTCGCCTTTCCTACCTTCTGCGCCCTTCCTTTACCTTAGTGTGAGCAGGCCCCGCTCCCCACCCCACAAAGGCTCTCCCCTCACTTTTTGGAAGGGAGTTTCCAACTCCTCTTCAGTAAAAGCATAAATGACTAAGAAGGCTGGAAGTGTTATCTCATCCCAAGCATCTGCTTTTGGTCCAAGAGCAAAGGCTTGATACAAAAGATGGAAACTTCAGTGATGGAATTTTGGAAGTCCTTTAACTGAGTGAAAACAGCCCCAAAAGGGTGACTAAGGAAGCCCTCTCTCTGTACCACCCCCACCAAGTGTACATTTTGTAGGCAGCCGCTTACTTAATCTAAACCCCAAAAGACATTGGGTCTTTGTTACCATTTTATTCCCAATACCCACCATGGTGCATACTGTAAGCACTCAATAAATGTACACCGCATGAGTAAGTCTCAAGAATACTCTGGCAGGAGGAGAAAGAGAGGCCCATCCTTTGCCTGTAGCCGATCTGAGACGAAAGCCAAGTCCTTCTAAATTCTGCACCAATGACTCATCATAATCAACAAGCACTAAGTGCCTACTGTATGCAGACCTCTGGCTTGGACCATAGGCCAAAGATGTCTCCTCAAACTGATGTGTCCACTAATCAACCGACCAAGATTCCATTCATGTATTCATGCACGCGTGCCTCTATGCCAGTCACTGCTCAATGGCTGCTGTGTGCTAACCTTGACCCTAAAAATTGGGATGCTCAGCCTTGGCCCTTAAGGATTCGGCCTGTCGTGCCTCCAGGGCCCTATGCAGAGCACCATGGCAGGGAAAGCCCCGCGGAAGGGAAGCGAGGGAAAGCTCAGTTCTCCTAGGAGAGATTCACCGGCTCTGAGCTGTGAATGATTCAGCAAAAAACCTCTCAAGGATTTGGAGAAACAAAAGACAGAGGATCCTCCTCACAGACCCCTTCCTCCGGGGCCTGACCACCACACTCACAGGGCCTGTTTCCTCAGAGCTTCGCAAGCTTTAAGGAAAGGAGGTCATTATGCCCATTTCACAGATGAAGAAACCGAGGTCCTGGGAACCACCAGAAATGGCGCAAAAACCACAGAGGGAGTAAGTGGGACTGGATGTGTCCTGTCTCTAAGCTCTGGCTTCGGTCCCCCCGGGGCCCCAGAGGTACACATATAGCTCACAAGATTCACCTTCCTCTGCCTCACCCCGATCTCGTTTCAGTCAGAAGTGACTTCACCATCATCCCCGCTGCTGACATATGTTGCTTCCTTAGTCTTCCCAGGCTCCGCGCTAAGCACCTTGCAAGCCTTAACTCAAATGTTTCACATTTTCATGTTTCCTTTAGTATCCTCACTTTACAAGGGGAAAACTGAGCCTTGGAGAAGTGTAGTGACCCAACCACAAGGATCGAAACCCAAGGGATCTATTTCCAGAGCCCACGCTCTTAGTCACCACACTGTACGACCTTAATGTACTTAACTGAGGGAACTGCGGCTCAGAGAGGTTAAGGGTCTTGCCTGAAGTCACACAGCAAGGAAGCACTGGGAGTCAGAATTTGAACTCAGGTCTTGGCTTCTCCCAGAGTCCCACTCTGCACCCCCTCAGATGGCTGGCTCAGGAGGCAGAGAGGGTGGGGAACAGGAAGGAGAGGGGCCTATTTCTGTGGTGCCTCCCTCACAGTCCCAGCACAGCAGGGCTCTCCATCCTGGGTAGCAGCTGAATCATTTAAGCTCGTCGGCTCCAGCCTACCACGACTGGGTCCCGGATTTATTTTTATCCCAGGTTACAGCCACAGCACTTAACAGATACCTTTAAGTATGCTGCTTCCCATTGTCTTCACATCAACTCCTGATTCATCTGCATTTATGACCAGCTCCCCACTCAAAGGGGATACAGAGCAGAAGACAGGACCATATGTCATTGTGGTTTTTATTAGAAAGTCACAAACTCTCTATCACCCATATGGCTGGGGGTGGGGTGGGGTGCGGTAAATAAAGAGTAAATACCACATCTTACACATAAACGCCCAGGGCAGCCACCGTGGCAAGGACTCACAGCCTTGGCCGGGCAGCCAGGATGTATATGAGCAGAATGCCTTTCCAGGCAGAGCAAGCTGGGGAAGGTGACTTCCCCGGCCACCTTTTAGAATTGCAGATCCCAAGCTGCCGCCTCTCTCCCACCAGTGGGAAAGGAAATGTCCGCGTCTGTCTCCACAGCTGTGCTCCCGAATCACCAGCACAGGCTCGAGAGGCACCAAAGAACGTCCGCCCTGCGTACCCAACCGGGTGCGGTGAGGAGGGGCTGCCCGAGCCAGGACTAAAGGGGTGATGCTGCCTTGTCTTCATGATGGCAAATTTGTATGTTGCTCTGTCATGATTTGCTGTGTGGTCTTAGACAAGCCACTTGCCCTCTCTGGGCTCCCCCCTGAGGGGTTAGACTAGATCAGAGATTCCAAACCTGAGGTGCTCAGGTGGGCATGAGGGAGGGTCCCTGGATCCCCGGGAGTTGCGTGTTTGGATGAATGTGCATCTTTTCAGAGTGGAGGCTCTCAAAGGGGTCCTGGCTGCCACCCCTTGGGATAAATCTCTGCAGAGCCTTCAAATGCTGCAATATCTGTATGCCTATGTATCTGAGGCCACAAATAAAGCAGACCCCTCTCCAGCTGAGCACGAGATTCTAGGAACCTTGCAAAATTCTCACAAGAGATCCCCATCGCGGCTCACCCCAAACAGGGCCTCCTGGACACACGTGACAAATTCCCAAACACGGCACACACCCCTCCTAGAAGGACACCTGCACACGCACTCCTATCAGATGGTTACAGGACCTCAGTCACCTAGACCAGGTGCCTCGTTGCACCTACAGGGAAACTGAGGCCCGGAAACGGGAGGCAGAGCTGGGGCTGGAACCCAGCTCTCCTGGTCCAAGGCCAAGCCTCTTTCCAGAAGCTTCTGTCTCCCTTTCCCTGGTGCACCACAATGCACCATTTCAAATGTGATGGGGGAGGAGGGAGGGCAGCCTTCTGGATCTTAGCCACCCCCAAGGAAATAAGGCTGAAAAGCAGCAAGGAGAGGTTTTAAAAGCACCCACATGTTAAAAACCCAGTCCCAGCTCCCTCAGCAGGGCTAGCGTGCACGTTCTGCCCGGCCACACCGGTTGTTAAAACACTGAAATGCTCCTGTACTAGATGGTGATGTTGCACTGAGGCCCCTGTGGCTCCCCTGATACTCTCCCCGTTCCCCCCTGCCAAACTCCCCATAACCCGGCAATTAAAGAGTTAACACTTAGCACACTAGGGCACCCCTACTCCAGGACCCCGGCCATCGTCCAGTTTGACCACGGAATGCCGAAGTTTCATATTTTAAATTTCACCCATGGCGAGACCTTGCGGCTCCTCTTCCGAACCAAATTTCTTCCTGCCAATCATTCACACTTGAGGCTTGCCCGGGAGGAAACTAAGGCAACTTCCTCCTCAGAAGCGTGGGATTTGGAGGACTGAGTCTTTGACACTAACCATGGAACAGCCCACCCCCTCTGCCTCACACGCTCTACCTGAGCAGGCACATGCCCTAGGATTATGGTGTCCCTACTTGGCTCTGGGGCTGGAGATAATCACTGAGTGGGCCCTGCCTACATTTGAGGCTTGCCAGTCTCCGGGGCTGACATTTTATTCCTCCACCACCAAGAACAAGAGCCTACACAGAAATCCTTGGGGGGACGGAAGACTGAAGTGGCCCCCGGGATAATAGTGAAGATGCTAAAAATAAGGACATTCATTTCCAGAAAGGTAGATGTAATCAAAGCAGAAGGCAGAGAGAAATCTCTGGATGGGTCACAGATTAGCAGCAAAGGCGTTTTAAAATTAAATGTGAGTTTTTGGATTCAGTTACAAGAAACCTCAACTTCCCACTCACTAACAGGTTGGTGCAGGCTTACCCCATCAGGACCTCAGATAAAGAAACTAGATCGGGGTTTGGTCTGCTTTGGAACAGATCTGAAGCCGGAAGCTGGAGTCCTTCCCCAGAACCTGAACAAACCCTGCTCCCTTCTTTGCCTACTCTGAGACAGGCTCAGGATGGAGTCCCCTGGGCTGGTGCCAGGATGCACCCCCATACAATCACTTACAGGTTACACCACCTGTGAAAATAAAACATCGTCTGCTCAGCAGGCTGCTGGCTGCTCCCTCCTGGCCTGCCTGATCACTCATTCCAAGCAAAATGTAGTCCCTTCATGGCTCCCAGATCTCCCATTTCAGGAAGCTGAGAACAGCCAGGTTTGCAAAAATCACTAAATTTAAATTACTCAGCTGTACCTGGAAGATGGTAGCTTCTGAACCCTGCCCTACGCACGCCTCACCTGGTGTGCCTAGGTGACCCTCAGCAAGGGGTAGCCTTTCAGTCTCAGGTGACCGTCTCCCATCCAGGGCCAAGGTGCCCACCCACTAGATCAGAACACCCAGAGACCCTTTGTACAGGCTGGCCATGCCATGAAGGGTTAATCCACTCAGAGAACTGCTGGCTACTTTCAACAGCTTCTGCTGCAAGGGAGAGGGTAAAAATTGGGCAGAAGCCACAATTTTGATCGCATTGCCTAAAACAGGAGCATATTTTACCCCCTCCTTGGGCACCGAGCCGAAATCTCATTTAGCTTTGGGGTGCCGCTTAGGCAATCAAACACTGCAGAATGTGGGCAAATAAATGTGGTCATTCCTCAACACCCCTCCCCCCACTTACCCTCTATCCCACCAGCTCACAGACACTCCTCATCCCAACGGGGATCCCAGTGCCCCCAGCCCATTTACACAATTGAGAAGAGCACTTACCACCACACCAGAGGATTGCAGAGGGAATGGGTGAGCCAAATTCCTGCCAACTCCTCCCTTCCCTGCTGGGTGGGAAGATGCTAACTCCCGATGACTTGGTTTGAAAGCTCAGTGGAGGTGCCTGAAAGAAAATTGTTCATTTGATTCCCCTACTCTTCCCAAAATAAAAGCAAAGCACCAGCACACACACACAAGCATCAACTACCCCTAAATCATGCAGGACCAAGACGAAAAGAAATACCACTGCCAGAAGAAGAGAAAACTCAGACCAGTCAGCGGACAAGGCAAAGAC